CCCCCCCCCCCCCCAACTCAAAATCTTATTGGAAATAATTATCCTAGCGGCTTCTTCCATACGGCATACAATCGTAGATTGCGTGCGATTGGAGACAAATTCGATTTTTGTAATCATAGATCGCGTGAGTTTTTATGCGGAGCACTTGTACTAGGTGTCCCGTAATCGCGTCTACGGGACGCCACTAATGGTCAAATCTCACGCCACGTGGTGTCGTGGAGACGGCAGCACTTCACAATTCGGCCAAGCAAACGCAGCAATGACGAATCAGATAAATCAGTGCTTATTCTCAGCGAACGGTGAGTTTAACGTGGGACTCGACGAAAAAGCCAAGAATGCGATTAACGAGCGACAACAGAAGCTCAAGAAGCATCGTGTACAAATGGTCGAATTCCGCCTTAAAAAGAAAGAGGAGTTCGACCGCATGAGGAGCGAGTGCAAACGTCTTGAATGTGTGCTGCAGCAAGGTATCGCAGAGTTGAAAAACGAATTATCGCACGGAACGACTGACTTCGGCGACCATCGTTTGGTCAGAGCGGTCGTTGACTTGGTCGCAGAGAATGAGAAGCTGCGAAAACAAAATGCAGTTCTTATTATCGACATCAAACGGCATGAAGTGTTTCAGAAGAAACTGGCTGCTGTGGATGAAACTCTGAGCTCGGAGGAGAGCCTACTACGCCACGACGAGGAGAGGACTTTTCCTGATAGCGTCTCGGCATTTTGTTATCAACCCCTGTCATTTGAGGAAGTGAATGCCACTCCGAACCCACTGGACAATAGCTTTACGGCAAGCTTGCCTCCGGTATCCTTTGTGGGGGCCATTTTCGGCTGGGACGTGTTTCGGCAACAACGTAACTCGATGCTGTCATCTCGCACCCAGTTCATTAAGCGCGTGCACTGCTCGATTGCAACCGCTGTCAGAGTTTCTTGTGAACAGGGTGATAGTTTGCGCCCTTTGATAACGACCCCAGTCGAATGGTGCTTTTCTCATCGTTGTAAGATTCCCACGCAGGTCCTACAAGAGTTTGGACCTAGATGCAAGGTTATTGGACACGAGATTCCCGGACCAACAAGCTACTGCTACAGCTTCCTGGAACGAGTTGCACAGTGGGTACTTCCAGACGGAAGAAAGAAGGTGGGAATTAGCATGATCGTCATCAACTCAACATCAAACCAGCAAGGCAACATTCAGATAAACTCCGCCAAGTGGATCAAGGACGGCTGGGCATTAGTTACAGTTACAGAGGCGGGTGACAACATGGTTGATGTCGTCTGCGATCAATGGGCTCCATGCGAAAGCAATCTTCATGCAGATTATCTGGTGGTGCAATGGGCTCAATTTATTCAGCGGTGGGAGCAAAGCGTTTCTCCCTCCAGATTGTTAACTCAGTAGTCTACATGTTTGATTTAAACGGTATTCTACTCCAAAAATCCTTCAGAGGTGCCGTAGTCAGGTCGGACTCCGGTTGAGAGTTTTGAGCTGTAGTGTTTTCGTTTAGATAGTTTTAGAGTGGGTTGGGTTAGCGGTTAACTGAATAGGCCACATTACCCTTCCATCAGTAGTAGAAAGAAACTAAAAAATACAATTAAAAGAGAAGATTATGTAAATATCGAAAGTAATTGTTATAATTCATAAGTCACACTACCTGTATGTGTTCACGTGTGTACTGCGCCGCCCATTGCGTGCTTATTCTGTATATTGGCGATCTGCTTTGCAGACAAGCAGCAACCTCTTTTACAGCTATTCAACAAAAGGAGTTTGGTACATCCGAAACCTCTATCCACAGAAGATGCCGGCGTTCAATAGACCCTGATTTATGAGTAGCAATATTCTTCAATTGAAAAAATACAGAGAAGAACACGTAAAGCGCCGTTGACCCTGTTGTAACGCGTTCCGCTACTAAAAACGTTAACACAGTGATAGGGCAGCTGGCCTATGTCTTCATGCATGACCTTCATGGGCTCCCAGGAATCCTCGATAGGTTTCAATCCTTCCCAGCTCATTAGCAGCTCGAAGTCACGCATGTCAGGGTTCCAACGGTGCTCGCGGATAGCCTCTACCTTCCGTATTACACCTTGTGCGGAAACGTGCTCACGCAGCTCCTCTGTCACCTCCAGATCGCTCTCTGGAAAGAACTTTAGGCGGGAGGCATGGACGTTGCTCTCGTTGCCGGTGATGAGATACTTCACAGTGAATGAGTGAGTGTTGCACTTTGTGACGATGTACGGTCACCAACAATTTGTTTTGTTTCTTCTCATCCACCCTCGATCTCAAA